TAACCGAGTCGTGACCTTGATGTGGTTCGGTAAAAGTCTTGTGATTGGGCTGTGGTGTAACAATACTATTGGCAAAAAAAAATCTCCAATATTTAAAACAAGTAAGGGTGTGATACGAGTCCAATGCTTTTTAATCTTTAGGTGAATAACTTGAATGATACATTAACAGATTAAATAAACCAGATAACATTAAATAATTATAAAATTAACTCCTTATCGTATGCAGATGACCTAGAATTGATTTCAATTGGGTGTCTAAACTGCACTGAATAAATATCTGAGTACTGTCGCAAATGGAAATTCCAACTAAATTTTAATCATAATAAAACCAAAGTCATGACTTTCAAAACAGGAACCATGGGAAGAAGAGAGTTATTTCAACTCCAAGAACAAAACATAAGTTGTGTCAATCTATGCAATGTTGAAAAAAATGCCAAGAGACTTGACTGTAGCAAGTTTTATCTATTTTGTTATTCTCGAGGGCGAACATCCAGGTATTCTCACTGCCTGGCAACCATCAGAATGTAAACAAAGACCAAAAACTCTCAGAAAAATGTACTTTGGGATAGTTGAGACTTTCCTGAACAGTGTAACGGTGACTTACCAGACAATAATATTACAAAACTACTTTGAAACAGGATAGCTAAACAAATGTACAGCAACACTGTTCTGAAAATAAATTTTGTTCAAAACTATAAGAATGAAACAAATAATTATCACAGTTGCTCTGCCATTTTCCCTTTCAGAGTTTTGAGTGGTCAACCCCTGAAAAGTTTATGATTTAAATGATATTGATTTTAATTGTTTTCAGATTGTGTCAAACAACCTTATACCCGATCATGAAGCAGATGCATTCAATCCAGAATGGAAAATAAATGGAGTTGGAGACCAAGTTGTTTACACTCTACTAGGTGGCTTTACACACTGGGATTCTGCACATTTCTTGTATATTGCAGAATATGGTTACACAAAAGAAGAACATTTTGCATTTTTCCCTCTTTATCCATTTTTATTGTCATTCACAAAAGAACAAGCGACTTCACAACAACTATTGATGTTTATGAGTGAACATAGTGTGATTTTAATCTGTGGTATAGCATGCAATTTAACATTTTTTGCTATTACCGCATTGGTACTCTATCGCCTCAGTGTCATTGTCCTGCGTAATGAGAAAACAGCCTATCAGGCGGCTCTGTTATTCAGCATAAACCCAGCGGCAATATTTATGACAGCTGCATACACTGAGTCACTATTTGCAATGCTTGGCTTTCTTGCAATGTTATTGCTGGAAAAGAAATATATCTTTTCTTCATCTGTAATGTTTGCTGTCGCCACGGCAACCAGATCCAATGGTGTTGTTGCTTGTGGATTTTTTTTGTATCTGTTTGCTAGAAGAATTATTTGGGAATTGTTCTGCCTACACAGATGTTTCAACTTTAAAGCTATGGTGCAATCATTCACGAAGACACTAGTGTATTTACTACTTACTATTGTAACGCTCATATCAGTGTTTTGTCCTTTTATTATATTTCAGTATTACGCTTATGTTAAATTTTGCACTGATGAAAAACTGTTCAGTTATTTTGAAATTGAACATCCGTGGAGAAATAGTCCTGATGTTTTTGATGATGCTGATGTCACTGAAATTGAGGATTTTTCTCCTCCACTACAAAATGTTCATGAGCAGCCATCGTGGTGCAATAATAGTCCTCCAATAGTTTACTCACACATACAAGAAAAATACTGGAATAATGGATTGTTCAAATATTATGAATGGAAACAAATTCCGAACTTTATGTTAGCTACACCAATGGTTGTGTTCTGTAGCTGGGCTGTTTGGGATTATTGTAGAGTGAGATGGAACTATATAAAATATCTTGGATTGAAACCCAAAAAATATAAAGAAGATGATGATGATAAAATTCATATTGGTTACTATGGTGATGGAGTATTTGTTTATCTTTGTCACATGATTGTATTGGTTGTTTTCGGTGTGCTGTTCATGAATGTGCAGGTAAGTTGACAGTTTTATAACAGTGAAAACAGAATGTTTGTTTTGGCGTATTTTACCATTGTTTCCTCTGGATATATAGGATACGTGTATACCTCAGAACTTTACTATACATGTTAAAAAAAAAGAGATAATTGCTACCTTCACACGACAGCATTTTATCGGAGCCTAACGGCTCGAGCCAGCAAAAATGGTCATGTAAACGCGTTCGGCTTGAGTCGGCTCGAGCCAAGTTCGGCTCCACTAAACCCTCGGGGTTGAACTCCAATAGGGTTGAGTCCCGACATGGCTCCAATCGTGTAAATGCATCGAGCCCAACTATCGGAGCCGAAATCACGCCCTCAATCGTCTTCTTCAAGTAACCTCTCATTTCAATTATGGCGGAGTCGACATCTTTTGTAATTTCACTCAACTTCCGGCTTGGCAAAGAGGTACGCGTCTTAATATATAGTAACGAATTATTGCAATAGATTGATAGTACAACGGGAAACAAAAAATGGCGTACGAAATTATGCGACAAAAACTTGAAAGAATGACTGAACGGAAACTTTCGTTCGGCTCCCGATCGTATGAACGCATTGGAGATAATCTCCTGTTAATCCATGGGAGGAGCAGTAGTTCGGCTCTGATAGAATGCTGCCGTGTGAACATAGCTATAGTGTCTATGGAAACTGCTGCTCTGTGCATTATATTTTACTGTTTGTTTTTGCTTTAAATTGACATTGAACCAAAAAAGTTCACATACTTATGACTAAAACTAAAATGAATAATTGTAGACAGATTTTGACACAAAATATCAATACTGCTAAATGCACTAAAATATGCGCACGTTAAAAACTCATGAGTAGCATTCTACTGTAAGTAAATAAGTAAAAATTTTGCTCCTTGACCCGATAAAAATGATATGGTCTTTTTTGTTAGTATTCAATACAACAAAATGAAGGTTCAGTGTTTAAATAAAGATTTTGAATACATGCACAAAACATTCTGAGAAACAGAAAACATTTCTTTATTTTACCATGTGACAACACATATTTTATGAGGCACAAGTTTCAAATTAAGATGCGAGACAATAAAAAGCAAAACCTTCTTTTGTGTCTTTATAAAAAGTCAATAAATTTGTCTTATTGCAGGTTATAACGAGATTCATTTCCTCAAGCTGTCCTTTATTTTATTGGTTTGCTGCTGCCATGACAACACCATCTACTACCAACTCTTCTGAAGAAAACAATACTAGTGACAATTCGAGTTCTCGTGATAACATCATAGATAGTGCCACAGACAATGTACTAACCAGGCAGATACTAAGCATCAAAAGTCAAGATTTAAAAACAAAAATTATTCTGGGTTTCTTTCTCGCTTACAATCTTCTTGGGATTATATTACATTGTAACTTTCTTCCTTGGACGTGAAAGACATGCTGGTTTAATCTTGCAAGAGAAACATTTTCTAGAATTCCATGTCAGAGTGAAGAGGATCATGAAATTTCATGGTACTGACAATTTAACGAGTTTTTGTTGGCTGATTCTATATGCCTAATAAAATTGTATTTGCTCTGTTCAAGTTAGTGACAAATGATACAAGCATAAGTGACAGAGGTGTGTCCATGGTCAAAAGTTGTACAGTAATTATCTTGTCTGCAAATATTCAGTTGCTTCTAGTAAAGCAAATAAAAATAGCCTTGATTCAGCGTTTTTCTGTCAAAAGATGTCAAGGTTCAAGTACAGTGACAAACAAAAATATCTTAATTTAGCTGAAGTGTTGACTATTTCCCTGTGAGAATACTGTAAAACATGTCTTTTTCGCAAATTTACCGAGAGAACTGATTCGTTATTTCAAGATGTGGCTAATGACTTTATTATCAATTCAACAATGACAAGAGAGATTCGCTAAATCAATATTTCGCTATTACGTCATTTTACCACAATTCGCATGCCGCTTTTTCAACATGTTTTACAGTATACTTTCTGTTAAATTAGCTGCATCTTGAATTAGCGATTTTACAGATTGGCTAAAATAAAATGCTAGCTAAAAACACACGTTTTACAGTATACTGTTTGCAAAGATTCTGAACATCAGATGTGTGGTGCTTTTATTTGAATTCTTTATTATTCATAATACATGTATGCAATCAAAAAAATTAATAGTCTCTTGATTGATCAAAATTTCAAAGGTTGTTTTTATTTATTGCTCTGTAAATATAAAATAATCCCATTTTTGTATTTCATTATTTTGCTTTAAAATTTGAAAATGACTTGGTTGCTGAAACCATGCATTTATTTCTGAAATTAAGTTCTGACTAGTTTCACAGAACTAAAATCTACAAGATGTAAAAAATATCCAAAATCTAAATTCTTGTGAAAGTAAAATTCAATCTGATTATTATCAAATTGGCATAACCTTAAACAAAGTGATTGTATGCCACTTTGTATATCTATGAAAACAAATGGGTTTTTTTGCCATGATGTGTGGTGGCGCTATAATAAACATTGAACTGTTGTAACCATTCCTTGATGAATATTCAGTTTATTTTATGTAAGTGTAAATTTGATATATAACTATTTGAGTGCCAGAAATTTTTCCTGCCGAAACTCTGTGCAAATATTGTAACATTTTGTAAAATTGTCACTGAATTTCATCATCATTTTTAGAACTTACAGTTTGAGATACTGAGATTTTTCAGTTTTTAACAACACTTCATATGGAAAGGAGCAGACTACATAATCATTTTGTAGATTGTGCCAAAAGTTGCCACTGGCACTTCAAGGGTTAAAGAGGTGTAGATGTATAGTTAGCTCATTGAAGTTAGTACATTTTACTCTTGATGGAAAGTTGGCAATAATCACAGATGTACATGGTTCAGTCCAATTAAAGCGGGAGGGTCGTCACCTGCGCACGCGCAGGAATTGAGTCCCAAGCGACGATAACAACACACGCTAAAAACGCAAAGGGTCATAGAGAGACGCTTGTTTGTAAACAATGAAACGCTATGGCCAACTGACGCATGTGCAGGAGACGACTCCCCCGCTTTAAAAACTGGTGTAGTAGAGGCACTCGTAGTGAGAATTCTACAAAATTTGAATTGCACAAATTTCAATCTTAGGCACTACTCTGTGTCAAAACCTGGAAATTGCATCTGATGTGCACCAGCGTCTGAAATTAAAAAACAATCATAGCTTTTACCTACATAAGGTACCAGTAGTGCATACGTATATCTACCTGCATTGTTTGATGCAGTATACATCGTATCACCCTTCAGTACAACCATGGAGGTACTAACGGAGTACTGTTAGTACCTCCATAGTACAACCATGTTCACGTGCAATAATAAGTTGTGAAAGGAACCCTTGATTACATATCTGATTCAACTGCTTCGCATCTTATTAAATGTATACAGGACAATCATTTTTTATCAACTGAAGATGCATACATGTTTATGCCTTGCATCCGGTCACAAGTTAATTCTTATTCTCTATGCAGGGGCGGATCTTGCAAAATGTATTTGGGGGGGGGGGGTCCAAGCTTCGCTTAAAATTTACGGAGCATAAATCGTAGAGAAGCTATCCGTAATCCAGATGATATGAATGATTGTTTGGGGGGGGGCTCTGGATCCGCCACTGTCTCTATGCGCTGTGCACTCTGGATTTTTTATTTTTCATTGAATCCTAGAAGTGTTAGTTCCGTATTTAGTCTTGAACTGTGCTCTAAAATTGTTTGCAGGCATTCGATTCATTGGCAAAGAAAATATTTCGTACTTTAAAACACTTTTAATGTTTGTCCAGTGGCTTAAGGGTGCCCAGGACAGGTACAGTAGCTAGGGAGTCCAGTATATGTGTTTGTATGACTCCTGCTTAAATCCTAGATTTGGTATGTAACCCGGTGGAAAATAATCTAGAAATGTGTTATTTTCATCTAACAGTTCTTCCAATTCAAATACCGGGCGATACCCAGCGATTGCCATAAATTCTCGACATGGTGGTATTTCTTCTATTCTTTGAATCGCGTCGGGTGATAGCGTTTGTTTCCATGACAACGCAGCTTTGGCCGAATCTCTTGATGTATCGAAAGGCCCCCCTGCATAGCTCTTTGTGTTTCTGTCAATCCATTTGGTGACGTTATCAGGCATGGGTAGATTTAGGAAGTCGTAGATATCAGATGCCATTTCGTGCGGGGATAGTGCAACGTCCTCGTACCGGACTGCTTTGTAACGATCCCGGAACACATCTGTCATCGACAATCCAACTATTAGATTCTCAAGAGCGACCTCACAATATTTAGACATGTTGCCGACAAATTCGTCTGTGAGATCATCAGTGTCGTAATGTTCTTTCTGTACCACTCTCCGGTCCATCCACGAGGGCGCTTTTCCGCGGGGATCCCGAATCAAATGAATCACGTGCACATTAAGTGTTGGGTCCCGCATCAGCGCCATCACATCGTTCAAATCGTACAGACGAATAGATTTAATGATAACATGTTTTCTTTGCTGGCACAAGTCCGTCAACATGTCGGTATTTATAATAGCACACCCGTTTACGTATGAACCATATTTATTTTTCCACTCCTCGGAACACAAATTCTTGGTCGTCAAGAGAGGAATTTCTCTGGTTCTTTTCCGCCAGTTACTTGTTTCTAAATCACTGGCATAACACTCCATCACATCATATGTAAAGTTGCACCTGAAAATGTTTTCAATCATTTGGATGTGTCTGGGGCGATATAAAGAGAAGGGTTCATCGAACTTACGCATGCACGTCACCAGTGTCCGCCCAGGCTCGTAAGAGTAAAAAAAATCTGAGTTGGAATTGAATAGTTCTGCCACGAACGACGAGCCTCCGCGAAATGATCCCATGAGAATAGCATGAACTTTTCTCTCGTGTTGTGGAAACTCCGTTGCTAAGTTGCGTGCAACTAGAATTTCGGGTTGTTCCAAATCTTGCAATCTGGCCGTTTCTAGCATCTCCGCCTCATCCTGTGTAACTGTTATCACCTCGTGTTCACTCGGAATTTCAACATCTACATAACCGCGACATAACTCCATCATTTCATCAATAGTCATTGGGATGTAAGAGACGCTGACATTTCTCTGACATCGCCATCGACACATTATCAGAAAAATGAGTACAAGTACGGCATTTTTCAGAGATCTACGAAAACGCATTGCAGTGATTGTTGTGTCGACATCTTTTTTTATTTAGTTTATTTCCGACCTCACTCAATTTGCATAGTTCGTGTCACAGCTGTCCAGTGGATTAACTTAGGGGCTTCTCATTTGAAAGCTGGGGTGCGCTCGAGGATTTTGTGAAAACAACAAATTCACGTCACGGTCGACTGTCCAATGTAGAATAGTTGGGGCAATTGTTTTAAAATAGTGACGTCACGCTTGTGCGAAAAATAATTTAAGCCAAAATGAGTGTGGACCGCCAGTTTCTATGTAGATGAGCGGGTACGCTGACTTTCAACTATTAATTCATCAATGTGATTTATTTGTTTGTTCGATGTTCTTTTAAAGTCTGCGGTATGTTAAAAAATAGTTTTGATAATGAAGTTGAATCAAATTCGTATAGTTGCAATCTATCGCCATGTGTTGTCAGGTCTATGCTACACCCAGTAACAATGGAAGCACATCACACCAGGTGTCACCAACTGTTCGGCTACTTGCAATGTAAAAAGTGCAAAACGTATTTTATTGCTTTCTAACATCACCACAGTGCCGTTTTATCGGCAGCCGTGACGCCATGTCCTATTTTAGTCGGCATCTGTGTAAAACGTTACCACGTGACGTGTTTGTCTAATAATTACGTCACAGATATTCAAATATCTAACATGCGGCAATATTTAATTTAATTTACGCGACGTTTCTGATTAAGAATTGATGAGCTGTTTCACAAACATATTCTAATCATTATAACATACTGGGAAACTGTTCTATCATGTAGGTGTCAGTAAATATCTAAAACATATACCTCCATGCCCTTATAGATGTAAATACACGCCGCCTAAAGACAGAAAGGCGTTCCTCTCAAACGGTAAAAATGCATGCCTGAGACTAGATCATGAAGTTGGGTGTCGGGTCACTGGCCTTTAACCATGTTCAGTTGTTGTTTCCATGTATCGTTAATGATTTTCTCGTAGAACGCGTGGAACCCACTTCGAAGTTTTTTCGTTGACACATATGGGACTTCCTTGTAAACATGTTGGCATTTCATTGTTTGTGCTTTTATCTATGTTAGTAAATGTGCATGTGTCGACAGAACTTTGTGTCGGACATTTCGAATTTTTTCATTGGTCATTTTAAAGTGGGGGTTTGGATGCGCAAAATAATAGTGTTTTTTTTTTTGTTTTTTTTTACAGGTCACTGCAGTACAAAAACTAATCAACATGTTGTATCCCCGGGTTCTAGGCTACATGTAAAATGTGATGTTCTGTTATCAACAATCTGTACCAGGACCACTATATTTAAGCTTATGCATTAAAAGTAATATGATGTTTACTTTAATGTCGACCCCATGCCGCTAGGTTGGAAACTCCCCTGTTTTGGATTATATGTAGTATCTATATATAATAAAAAAAAAAAAATTTTTTGTTCACCGTGTCGAATCCTTACCTCAGTGTTATTGTGTCGTATATTTGTATAGTACGTTTCACGTTAACCTGGTGTACAGTCACAATGATTCCGGGCACAACGCGATGAATTAAGCGTAGAATATGATAATTAAGAGCGCACAGATTTATAGAAGAGTGGTTATAGCGACATACAGCTGTTACCCGTATAGGTCATGCCTCTGTGTAAAGCAGAGCACCACGTTGCACATTTAGTGTGTCGTATCGACAGTGTTCAATTGTACCGTTGCCGAATATTTAACACTTATGGCTTTAGCACTTCTCTACGTGTATATCAAGTGTGCGAAGTTCTAGTCACAATACCAGAGAATGTTTACCCGTCGGAAGCGATAATAGGCAAATTAACTCTAAGGTGAGTAACGAGGTAGTATCGTCAATATAGTACGGGGAACCAATCACATCCATACTCGTCATGCGGTGTGGTAATTATATATTGTTTCTATCGTATTTTATATTTGCAGTTCCGTTCAGAATTTGAGCGACGTGGCTCCGCACATTGTTCTTTATTATAGAACATTTATTATAGATAAATATATTTTGGCGTCTCCATGTGATACACATCATGAACAGATTAATAGTGAATAAATCCACCAAATCATTATCCGAATCTTCTTGAACATATTTGTAACAAAAACGGGAGGTAATTGGGCTCGTTTCGATGGATTCAGTGATTTTAGTTTCCCAGCCACGGCAATTTTGCGAAAAACCGCGTACAACCTTGAACTTGGAATTGTCTATAGTTTAGCATCAATGTTTTTGACCACTAGTTATATGTGGCAATATCACGCCGAAAAATTAATTTTAAATTTGACAAATTCACAATCTTGCTGTGTTCACAGAGGTTTAACATCTAGGTTTGTGACCACTTGTTGTAAGTGGCAGTGTCACGACAAAAAATATGAATTCGAATTATTACAAATTCACAGTCTTGCTGTTTTCACCGTGACTGAGGTTATTAACCCTCAAACAGACTACACTCTAAATGAGGAACACTGCCATTAGGATGATAATTGTTTTCTGATTTTACACGACCTACACGTGAACTTTAATTTCTAATATGTATTAAATTGTTTTGTAAATACATAGTTTAGATGACAATGGAATTTAATGTGTTCAGATCGTTGGACGTACTTCCATAGTGGATATCACCAACAACAGCGTTAGCCGATGGGGGTCATTGTTTTGGGACCAACACATGACGAAAGGTCGCATAATGTTCTGATAATTCACCTATTACTTTGAACCTGTTGTATGTGTAGCATTTACCTCACATGGGAGCTTCGTTGCTTGAGGGCGCACCTTATAGGAGATGTATATTTATCCAAATTATTGTGGACTCCCGTGTGTAGTACAAATCATTTGACAATGTATTAAAGTAGAACTTTTACAAAGTCTTGTTTTAGCTTGAATATTAGTTTAGCTGTGTTGTATTTTGCTTAATTCAAAACGTAGCTACTTCAGCAAAAATGCTATTCGGATGTCGGCCATAATTAAGAATCTGTCAATGCATATATTGAGTCCCACCTTTCTCGGATTGTAACACTATATTAATTATGGTCATTGCCGCTTCATGTAGCACCAATGCGACCGACTATCAATTTTGTCAGTGCTAATAAATGTCTCGTACCTTTTGGCACGTTGTCTAACGAGTAATAATTTTATCATTTTCTCAATAGTTTGTTGGACCAGGATCCATCGTATTTATTATACACTCCAGCTCTTCAATAGGTGACCATGTCGCGGCGGCTGTGGAGACATATTACCATATTTTTCTCTATTGTATGTGCCCTATTTATTTTGAATCTCTTCGGGGAGTATTATAGCTTAAACGTGGATTTAAAACGCGTTCATGAACTTTCTAAAGAATGGGGAATGCCGTACGACTTGAACCTGATAAACAGACCTCTCATTGTCATGCAGACAGAGGGCGTTTTCATTGACGTCGGTTCCGGTGCGGGCGATGCCTTGATAAAGTTCTACAAGGGAAAAGTATATAAAGACGACCCTAACTTCAACATGGTGATGGATTATGATCCATGGAAGTGGAGGGTGTATGCCTTCGAGGCAGACCCTAAATACACCTCACAACTTGTCAAACTGGAAGAAAGATTTAAATTTTCACTGTATTCAAACATGGCGGCTTGGGTACATGACGAAGGTTTAATGTATCCGGTGAATAGGACAGGTGTGCCCTCACGGACACACAACCTCGTTCGCGAAAAAGAACACAACCCCGGATATATCTCTGCATTTAGCATCAACTTTCCTTTATGGCTTCGCGGATATGTCACTAAGAAAGATTTTGTGGTTGTTCGAATGAATCTGAGAGGCTTGGAATTTGAGGTTTTAGACAAGTTAGTGAGTGACTTGTCACTCTGTTTAATCGACCAACTGTATGTGGACTATTACCCGAAACTAGCTATCACAAAAGACCCAAGCATCCCCGCAGAAATTCCAGGATGGGTAACACGAATGTCAAGAATGGCGGATTGCAGTACAGAAATAGTTATGCAAAGTGAACACGTGTAGTTTCGATCATGGTCAGCACAGCCTGACAGAATACATATACAATGCACTTATCAATGTTTTTCCACCAGGAGTGGAGTGCACATCTTTAGCCCTTTCATATGGAATTTGACAGTGCTGTAAAAATGTCGCATCTTCCTACTCAGAGCCTGCACCAGAATAAGGGACATAACATTGATTTTCTCAAACAAAATAAACCTGTCCGTAAATTGTAACTTAATAGCCACGCAGAATAAATATTGACTCTTACCTGATACAGTAAATACTGAAAAAAATCTGATCTAATTTAGACGTCACGTGACATAAGCGTCCTATCGCCAGAGGGCGCTAAGTAGCTTTCTTATACTACCGAGTGCTACGTCGTGCTACGTACGTTTGCAAACTCTCTATAGGCAGATATCGAGATTTTACTATATCCGGTAATTTACTGTATAGGTCGGGAAACGCCGTATGTATACTCTTCGAAAAAAGAAACGCACACACTTCGTGGTATCCATACGAAGGATTGCATACAATTTCAATGTGGTTCGCACGTAAGACAAAAAACAGCTCTATAGAGGGAATGTGAAACTAATTCATTGTTTTATCATCAAACGTAAACGTAATCTTAGTTGTTTCTAGAATTTAGAACCTAGATAGTATTGTTTAAAATAATTAGATATACAATATTTTAAATGAGAATTTAGTAGCATCATTTATTTTTCATAATCAGTAAAACGTGTCCGGATTAGTTTTGTTATGGTAACGGTTGCTGTATAGTGATAATTGTTGTAGTAAGAAGTGATTTAAAGCGGGAGTGTCGTCATCTGCGCATGCGTCAGATGGCCGTTGCGTGTAATTGTTTACAAACAAGCGTCTACCCATGAACCTTTGCGTTTTTAGCGTGTGTTGTTATCGTCGCTTGGGACTCAATTCTGGCGCGTGCGCAGGTGGCGACCCCCCCTGCTTCAAATGATCCAAATATTATTGTTAGGCTGTTTATCCGCCTGTAACATTGTGATGTTGGTAGTATGAACCTGTCATATGACAACACCACTAATAACGCGATGCAAAATCTTGTAAATCAAGAGTTTTGGCGAATAACAATATATATACTAATAAATATATGATTTTTCTTTACATATAAACAATCAGCCAGTGAAAAAAAACACACAATGAAAATAAACTGATGTTATTCATTTTTATTATTGTTTTTTTTTTTTGTTCTCTTTCAATTTGTTGCATGAATAAGCGATAACGACACCGACGAGTACAGATACCCGGTTTCATAATATATCGATAGTATAATGTGACTATCTCTTTCTCTTAAAGGGCCGTGGTCGTCGCGCCGTGTCTTCTTCCATATGGGACTCATAGCCACGTACTAGTGTGTAAAATACATTGTTCGTTTGCATGAAATTCAAACACGCACAGCGCGACGACCGCCGCCCTTTAAACTGATCGATGTGCGACGGGACTGAGGTCGAAATTTATACATATAGTAAAGCCGATATCCACAAGGTGCTAAAGTAGTTTACTAATATGCAAAGTGGGCTAATTAGAATGCATACAAATCAAGTTTTTACATGTCAGGTCAAATGTCAACTTGTAGTTTGTACACATTAACCAGCTGTCAGTAAACTGATCGATGTGCGGCAGGACCGAAGTCGAAATTTAAATTTAAAGTAGTTTTTTTTACTATGCAAAGTAGGCTAATTAGAATGCAAATAAAGTTTGTATGTGTCAGGTCAATGTGAACTTGTGTGGTTTGTACACATTAACCAGTTGTCAGTATACTAGTATTGTAAAATACTTTATTTTAGCTGGAATTATTTTTCCTAAAAAGATTTTTTGGGTGTTTTGTATGGAATTTATTATCACTGATTTTTGATGAGTTGAATGTAAAATATAGGAAAAAAAGTATATTCGCTGGATTATTTTTACTGAATCATTCCTTCAGCGAAAATAGCGAAAATTAATTCCAAGCGAAAATAAAGTATTGTACAGTATATGCTGTTTCAATCTGCACTTGATCATTCATAAAAATCACACCTTCTAGAGACATAGCACATCTTTGATGTATATCAAAATGATGCACATGAGGGCAATGTTATTCAAATCGACTATTGTGTTTGATTGTTCACCCGGGGGAGGGGGCACTTTTAAAATTCATATAAGGATATGAGGCCCAACTTTTTATACCAATTTACAAGAAAAACAACCCTTACTAATATACACAAGTTCAAAATCATGGTAATATGAATCTATCCCTGGCACATATACCAACAAAGCAAAACACAACACAACCCTTTTGATTCCGGGGAATGTCCAATAGAAACCCCATGATCATTAAAAATATCAAAAAGCAACACCTTACCTGTTTTGAACATAATTGCCTCAAATGAATTTCCACGTAGAAAACTATAAGTACCCATCCTATAATTACATATTTTCACTATATGTATCTGACCAAAATTTCGAGATATGACAATCTTTTTACCATAGCAACCATTTTCATGATTGTTTGGCACATTTTTCCCATTTCTTCTGGATTTTATGAGCAACATCATAAAATAAAACCATGATAAAAGTTGAGGAAATAAACAATAAGGTTTAATGGCCAACAGAGATGCATACATGTATATTTAATAACAGCAATGAACAACGCTATTACTTTTTTGGGTGTGAATTACTCGGCTTCTTGCAACCAATCACTGTGCATGCATACCAAAAATAATTGAGTGCAGCAGCTGATATCATGGACTATGTTCTAATGTGATCTGATTGGTTGTTGAACATTAATCAGATGTAGTTTGGTAATGTAAACCATGACCTATAAACATTGGATTTTAAACGTAAATGTTCGA